AACCTACAAAGACTTAGAGCTAGTTCCTTGTAACTGGCTGGCAACAGTGATAGCTGGAATCCCTTGTCCTAGCTGCCACCATCATCCGGTAGGGAATAGTAGGAAGAACTAAACAATGCTTTTGGAAAGGCCAGGGGTAGCTCGACCTCCTGCTTTCAGTGATCACCGAAATCAGCCTGGATTTGAAAGAGAACCTCAAAGAAAAATCATCTGGAAAAATTATTCAAAGGTAAATGTTTAAACTCTGCATCTAGAGTTTGCACAATCACACAAAAAAGAAGGAATATCTGATTACAGGCTGAGAAGTATGAAGCAAGTCCATTTTTGAGCAAAATTGCAGTGCTGTATGAAGCCATGTATATCACAAAGGTATTTGGAAATAAGCAAATAACCTTTCTCACAGTAATTCTGGTAATAATAATGCAATACAGACCAAATCCACAAACCACTGAAATAAACAGGCTGCTGAAATTAGTAATGGCTACTCATTCATGAGAAACCTGTGAATCTAAAGTTTTCTCCAGGGTTCTCAGAGCCTGGACAAAATGCTGAGGGCTGGCACATGGCACACATAGTTGTTTCAGCCCAGACTGCAGAATGCTGCAGGATACAGACCTGAAGTTCTCCTCACGTATTAGAGGATTTTCACTCAGTCAACCATCTAGGTCATTTAAGGACATGTCAACACCATCCAGCAGAGTATAGCTGAGCCTGAACTACACCATCACTCTGCAGTGCTCTGCACAGACACACCAGCATCGCAATGAACATAAGCTARTAGCTCCCCTGGCAAATTATTGGACAAATAAAATATTCTCAGCAGTGCCGTTCTAACAGGTCTATAGTGCTTTTCCAGATAAATTCAGCACATATGTTATGCATTGCAATGCTCTTTGTGGAGATTCCCACCTGCTCAGATCTGGTTTAGGAGTTTCTGTGGGTTAGAAATAGCAGTTGAAAAAGGAACACTATGTTGCTCTGTTGATTGGCAGATAGATTTAAGCAGCTTGTAATCCCTGCTCTTCTACTGCATCTACCTGCTAGGGATGGCTGCTGTCTCTTGACAGGCTGGCACAGAAATTCTGTGCATATCCTATATTTAGGGAAACAGACCAATAACTAGCACTGATTGCTGCTGCATTTGTCATAAAAGCCGAAAGTAGGCTATGATGAGTGCATAGGGCCTGGATTAGCCCTTTATAGGAGGAAAATGTGAGGCATATGTAAGGAAAAAATCCTCTGTTTCAGTTTTTCCTCMTTTCCAAGCATTGTCACCTTCATTTAATGAAAAGGGCAGGAAAAATCAGTAATGCTCATTTACTGTGTCATTTACCTGCAACTGGTATTTATCAAAATAGGTTTTTCAGCATGCAAGCAGACACTTCTCCAGCACACATTTGGAGAGTACAGAAGGAGGAACAAAGGTGCAAGACAAAGATGCAGAAGAAAAAATGTGGGACAAATGAGGGTAGATAAGAAAGAAATTACAAAACCAGCAACTTTCACTAAGCCCAGGACACTGGCTTCAGGCAGGCTTGACCTCTACAAATCCATAAGGAGCAAGGCTGGTAGTCTGCCTTCTGAGGTGGAGAAGAATTTAATTGCAGGTTAACCTGTTTTGAAAAGCAGGGGGCAAGCATGTCTTTTCTCTCCTATTTCTGCTATGTGAGAATGTGGTGGCCATCATGAGACATGWTGAGAAAGGCACTTTCTCTCCTTGTGATCATGTGCTGTTCCACCCCTGTTATGGAAGTGTCCTCTCCCCTTTCCTATCAAAAGGAACAGCCAATTCCCACTTTGCTTTAAAAGGTTAATATTCTTCTGTAATCATAATTATGCTGGCAAAGGTTGATGTGACAGAGGAAAAATTAGTCTGGTATTTTCAGCCTACGGTTTGTACTCACTTGGCACATGAGAGCATCTCTTTATCTGCAAGCTTCCTTGCCTGCTGATTCTATAAAAGGACCCCCTTGCTTTCTGAATTAGCCAACAATCAGGCAAAAGGTTAATGATTCAATCAGGTTGTTTATCTGGGGCTTCTAGCACATGGAAAGCATCCTTAAGAGGATCCAATCATACAGCAATCCTGCAGTATGGGAACCCAGGAGAAGTTCCCATAAGTTTCAAAGGGTATTTTAGAAGAGCTACAAAAGGATGGATTCTCAGGGTCAAAAAAGGAAGCATTCAGTAGAAATTCCCACTTCTGGGGTGAGACCAGGTTGTGTCGAATGCCCTAGGAATATGCTCAGGATCATTTCTAATAATGACTAATATTGAAAGCTTAGGTTTCCTCCATTTTATAATTTCCYTGTCTCTATGAGTATTATCATGACTGAAGTAATATACAGGATTGCATAAGAATGTTTTTTTTCCACATTTAGAAAGGTAAAAAATTTTTGAGCATGGAGATTTATGCATCACAAGATCTCAGACTACTGAAGTTCAGATATCAATAGGGAAACACTTAACAGCTCTCTTCTCTCAAAAAAAAAACAAAACAAAAAAAAACTAGAACAATAGAACTGAGAAATTTTGCATTGAATAAGGTTACAACAATATTCAATCTCTTCATTTCAATTTCTCACTTAGAGTGTCTCTTTGCCCATATCACAACAAAGTATATGTCACACTTCAACTAGACACATTGTAACACTGCTTGGCTGATTGGTCTCGACAGGATGAAATTCAATGAAGCCTGAGTTAGGTCAAGAATTTTCACTGTCTGCAGTGAGAATTGCATGTTGAGGTCAGTGTCTCTACACTGTTGAGCATGGAAGGATGACAACAGTCACAGCAGCTGACACCTGCTGGCAATTTAGACATTAAAGTCTAGGGTGGAGACTWAGCTTGCCTTGAATTTAGAGGTCAGTTTCAAATCTGGACATCTGATTTTAGGTATCTATAGTAAACTGTGTATTTATATGAGCAAGATGTCTGAATTTGTTGGAGATCTGAGACTGTCCACACAGAGAGGTCAAGCAGCACTTGAGATGCTCCACATATGTGCCTGGATTAGCCCAAAGGAAACATGTAGCATTCTGAGGAAAATACCACTAAGAGATGGGTTATGCTAGTGCAAGTGACTGGCAACGGTGATGCACAAACACTTGAAGAATCATGCCAATATTGGGCTGGAATTCATGCCCCTCGTACTGTCCCAGTGCAGTTACCTTCAAATGCTGGCACTGACCACAGTGGGAACAGTACAGGGGCCTGAAATCTCAGTGATTTTCATGGCTCATCAACCCTGAGCTGCACTTCCATGCTCCAAGRGATCAGGTAACTCCTGTGCTGGGAGGCAGCAGGACTTATGTCAGTTTGCCCTTCATATGCCTGCTGACAGCTGAATGTGTTTCACTGTTAGCTCCAGTTCTTTCAAAATAAACTATTTGAACTGAAAGATCTTACCACAGGATCCTACGCCTGTTGTTGTGGGTTTTATGCACAACTTCTTATCTGTTCTTGATTATACCGAAGAGGTTTATGAATATTTATGATTAGAATTTATAATTTAACGCTTTGCCTTTTCTGCTGATTAATTCAAGGACACTTCATTTCTTAAGACGCTTGGTTTCCAAAGAAAACACTTTCTGCTGGACACCCAATCTGAATCCTGAATATTTATTCCCTATAAAAAGTCAAAGGCAGATTCCTGTCTTCACAGGCAGCTTCACCCAGTGCACTTCAGCATGTGTAAGTTTGCCCGAGTTCCTCAAAAAATGGATTTCAATTCATGCAACAAGCAGCCAAAGCAGTGTAAGGTGTGTTTGTCTTCAACAGAAATGCATAATTCAGCAGTCTCACTGCCACAGCTTCAGATGTTGACAGAGAAATATTTTCTTTTTTTTATTTATTTATTTTTCTCTGTGAGAGCAGAAGCGGTGAAGGGGCAAATATTCACCTACTTCTTCACTCTGGSCCATGGTGACCTTTCTCCTCTTTCCCTTCACTGCCTTCTCACAATCTGGCTGGCTTGATACAAATAATAACACATGAAAGAGCAGGAGGTTTGGCTTCCTATAGCATCATGTAGCAATCACAAACTAATAAAACTGAGCCAAAAGCAGAAAAACACAATCATTCTTCCAAAACATACCATACGTCTCTAGATGAAAAGGCCTAGAAAAGAGACCTAAGAATATTCAAATATAGGACATGTTACAATGTCAAAGATAAAAGATTCAGTCACCTTTCTCCTTGTTCTTATGGAGCCCTCTTTCCCACTGTTTGAAAGGCACACCACGGAAAAATGCTGATTTGCTGGACTTTTTTGTCAGCAACCATTTTTCAGAAAAGATGGAACTGTTATTTTCCAGAGAAAAGAACACCTTACTTTAGAAAGCTCTGTCTCAAACTTCTCCGAGAGCGTTGTGGCTATAATTTCCAATTGYTCAGCCTTCTGCACTGGAAAGGTGGTATCGGGCAAGTACACAGAGCACTGGCAGATTCCCTTGTCATTCACAGAGCCAGACACATTGGAAAAGAGCTGCAAAAACAAATTTGTAAGAAAAAAAGGTGTTAATATTCTTCTTTAGAATCAGTACCTAATTATGTCTGACAATAATATGAKTTCTGACAATTATGAGATCAACTATTTATTTACTAGTCATCTTTCACCTTTTTCTTCTGAGGAAATTAAAATATATAGCAATTTTTATGACTCATTCTTACAAATCTCTCTAAAAATAGTTAAATATTGCTTTAAAGATATTTCCATTGGAAAAACAGAGACATATAATAGTCCTAACTTTCCTAATCTTGTAGACAATGTTCCTAAGACAATGAAATAACTTTTCCAGCAGATAGAATAGCAGGCAACAGCAAGAAAATAATARCATTGTAAGTTTGGTCTTACAGCTACTATTCTGTTCATCTAAATTGGTCAAATCATTTAGTCATTTTCACCCATAGAGAGGAAAATGCTGAAATAGAATTAGTAACAGGGAATGTTTTGAAAAGAAAAAAACTTTCATTTGAACATTTGCAGTCAGCCACAGCAAACAGACATGCATTTAATTATACACCACTGAAAGGTGATGAATTAAATATGCAGGTTTGGCCTAGGGTAGAGATTCTTATTTTGCTACAAAATATTGCTCGTAACACCCACACATCACAGCCCGCCCATCCATCCTCGCAGATAGCTGGCAAAGCTCTTGCCCATGAATTGCCTTGTCCCASTTGTCTGCATGCTCACAGCATCATCACTGAGCAACGCACATGAGGTACGGAAAGGTCAGGGATGGCACTTTCTGATCTTGCCATAATTTACAGCCAAGGCACACTGCATTTTATAAACACCAGGCTGAATACTGAGTGTGTTCGGAACAGTTCCTTTTTGTTGGTATACAAAATGTTTCCAATTCATAAACCTATCACGAATTTATTAATAAAGATATTTGATGTTACTTTAAAATATTCTGGCACACACTTCGATGCAGCCGCATATTTTAAAGCTACAGACTTGCTCTTTAAACACACTTCTTTCTATAATCACTTCTCCTGCCTTGCAGAAATCCCAGTGTTGTTCATGTGTTTTCTCTTTTTCTCTCCTTCTTAAAAATAAAAAAGCAAACAACAAAACTGTGTCCTGAGACCTGACAGTTCAGCACGTTTTCCCTTGCTTTTCCACAGTGGTTTCAACTAATGTCCTCACAAACAAACCAGCCCAGAACACAAAGTGATGGCCAGTAGCAAAGCTGTCTTGATCTGTGAACTCAAAAAGAGAAGAGCAGCAAGCAGGAATGATCCCAGTTCACACTTCTGGCAACCTCTTTACTGCAACCACAACAAACAGCATGCATCTCATTTTGAAAGAAAGCATGGAGATTCATTTTATCTGTGTTATTCAAGCACCATGAGCCTTAAAACTTCACTCAGACTGCTGAAGACATTTAACACAAAAGGAAGAAGAGCAGTATCTTATGGCATTTCCGAATGTCCCAGCATATAACTTCCACTGATTTCTCTGCCAGACAGGCTACCAAAGCACTTCTGAAAATCCCAATGAAAACACACTGTGTCAAAGTTTTCAAGTATTTTTGAAGTATGGCTATCAGTATGTAAATTACTATGAAAAATAAGTTCCTCAATCACTTAGATCTTTCTGCACCTCCAAGTGCCCAGCGCATGGGCATGGTTGGGATGGCAGGCAAGTTGCTCAGCAATAAAAAAACAAACAGATAGGAGAGACCAAAAGAAGAAATAAATGTGGCTTAGTGAATATACAGGACCTTCTCTGAGACTGTTGCACATGGCATTCTAATTTTTGTGTGGGAGGTATTGTATTCCTTTCCTACTGTGTGTAACACAAATATAAATACATGTATACCAGATGGAGTATGCTGTACATCGTATAGCACAGTGTGTGTTACACCTTTGCATACATTATACACTCTGCTATGAAATAGTCTTGGCTGTATATACCAATCACTTTTCTAGACTYACCATGCCTATTTCATGTACTAAAAAAAACCCAACCATTCATAAATGTATTCAGATAACTCAAAAAAACCTCCAACTTGTGTTTTTAACCTCCCTATGAAAAACAATCACTATATTTTAACATTTGAGTTAGGAGGGAGCTTTGAGTTGAAGGCAGAGCTTYMCTGCAGTAAGTGCAGCATGTATTGAAGCCAACAGTTTACCCAAATGAGGGGAAACAGCCTGGGCAGGCAGAGCCACTTCCATTCTTCCACTCACATTACAAACATAAAGATCATGATGTTGACAAGACCAAGAAGCATTGTTTAGTTAAAAGCCCCTTGGGTCAGTAAGTGCTTCAATCAAAATATAATACCAACCAAATGACAACCATGTTACAGAAATGTCTTCCATCATCATGTAGAAAAATGCATGAGATAGACTGCTACTTTTGATGGAGTTGTATGGTTTTTAAAGTTTAATAATTTATWCAGAATGCTTAAAAGAGAGCAAACTGTCCTAGCCTACAGCAAGGACTTGACAGCAACATTTCACTCTGCAAAATTAAGCTGTTACATATACATATTTGAAGCTATGAGAAATGTTCCCTTTCCACATCCTTTCAAATTAAGAAAGGGAGTAGGAGCAAGCAGTTACTCAATTTTCTGAAAACCAGGAAATTTGTCACTGTAGCCTAGTGACAGTCACAGCTCTGAATCAGCTATTTGCTCATCCAAAGACAAAGAATGGGATCTACAGAAACACACAACTGGGCCACGGTAGGGACAGAAGCCACCTCAGCTGCGCAAGGAGATGGATAAAGTTTGGGTCTTGCTAATCAGACTCAGAAAGAGAACTCTGACTCCATTTAACTTTCTAAATGCTCTACTGGAGCCAAAAACTCAACTGTGTCTCAGAGGAGGTCCATCCCCACATCTCATATGTCACACTGGGCTTGCCTGGACACACAAAAGACCTGCTGTGAAGCTGTCTACTATCRCCAACCTAATTTTGATCTGTGCTTTGGACAAACTCTGTTTTTGACAATAATTTGCAGGACCACACAGAGCAAGTGTGACCCACTGAATCTGCTCCGAAGTGAACATTTTATYGAACAGTCATTGATAGAGAGAGGGAAAGAAACCAGACCCTGAAATCTGCAGACCATAGACTTCAGCATTCCACCAGAAGGCACAGAAGTAAGGTTCAGGTCCCTTAACCATCAAATAGCTGCTAATATTTTAACTAGGTAGAATAGGGTGAATCAAGATTTTCTCACTCCCAGCAACCACAAGTGGGCACTTCTCAGAAGATACTTTAAGGCCCTGTTCTAATTTATGAGATAAGACTTCCTCCAGGGAGGCTGTAAACCCCCAAACTATTTGTCATATTAGCATAAAATCCCCAAAGCCCATCTATTTCATGTCTGGGGTCCACTTCACTGATTATAAGGTTAATGCCAAAGTGTTGGATYTGATTTAAGGCATTGAAAGACATGGTAACAGTAGTGATTTTGGAGATTCACTACTTCCTAAAGTACTGGATRCAAAACGCATAATTCTTTTTCCAGGCAGTCCAGCTGGCTTACCTGTGACAGAGTAAAGTGACTGAGTGATTGTAGCATTTAAAGAATGGGACACAAGTTCCTAAATTTGACCTTTTCTGGACTRTATTGAAGAATAATAATGATTATACCTCTGGGGGCGTGTGCAGTTTGCCATTCGTATTCCTAGGYGGAATCAGATATGGAAACATCGTACTGAGATGGGTGGTCTGAAAAACAAAGGAAAGAGTTTTTAGTGTGATTTCTTGCATATGGCACCATCCCTTCCCCACCAGTCAGCCCCTATCCTGCAGCTCCAAAGCACTTTGATTTTATTATGGGAGCTATCCTAAGCAACTGTAAAATTTCTGATCTGCTGCTGAGGTGACAGTTTCCCTGGGCACAATGTCACGCCACAGACACCTCTCCTTGCAGAAAGGCTCTGTGTGACCAGAGTAAAGCAGGGGAYGCTCAGCCTGTCCAGGAGGTGTGAGCTGAAGCTGTGACAGGCAGCCCTGGCAGACTGCATGGCAGTCTAAAAGGACAGTGCTGTGCCCCTCTGCCCTAAATCCAGAGAATACTGTCCTCCCAGCAGGGATGTCCCCTCCTCACCACCCAGCTCATGCTCCAGCCTCTCAGCGCAGGACTCGCTGCCCCTTTCACACCAAGCTGTCAGGCTGTGAGCTGTGATGGCTGGGGAACGTGTCCCACTGCTGCTAGCGCCATGGAGGTGACAGCAACCCACCAYGGAAACGGAGCACTGGGCAAAGACACCACACTGCCAAGGATACTGTCAGATCCACCTTGGATCTTTTATGCAGTAAGACAACACACATCCCCTTTAACTTCCATCTGTGGCCGTCTTACTGCCGCAGCAAGGACAACAGCTGTCACCCTGGCACCATACTGGGGGTTACCACGTCCCCACACAGTGTGAAGAGCACAGTGCATTCCCATGATGCAGCACACTGTCACCCATAATGGGATCTCACCAAAACCTGCGGCAAACTGGGAACTGGAGCAAGATACCTTCAATGTCAAATGGTGTAACAGACGGAGCATCAAATGGGCTTCCCCTGCAACACGACACTCACCACCGGGTCTTTCTGCATTTCCCAAATCTCAGCTGGAACCCTATTGCTGAGTCGGGGAATGGTGAGGAAATCCAAATGGCCAGCAAAGGGCAGGTGTATTAAGTGACACCGTGTAAACAAGCTTTGTGGGACAATTTGTCAAATAAACCCTCTTGAACAGGCACTTGTGTGCTCATACGATTAYACTGAACATGATGGGCAGCTGGTAGCAATTAACAGTGTTAGGGCAGAGAGCATCACAAATTGTGCAAATTACACAAACTGAGCCCTAGCTTGAAGCTAAGCTGACTAAGGAGGAATTTCTTCCCTATTAAGCTTTCTACCCTCAGCTTATCAAYGTCTATTTACACCTCCATCTTGAATTTTGCAACTTTTCATTCCTTGAGCAGATGAAAGCACCTTCCCAGGAGGTGCTAACTTCACTGCCTGCATCCACAGCACTCCCAAACTTCAAAAAATGTAACTAGGGGCACACAGGAATTTTCTGGTTGGTGACTAAACCAGATAAAYCAGAAAGAACTATTGGGAGCCAAAATGATTTTCCCCAAGTTTTAACTAGTAAATAACAAAAGGCAGTCATTTTTGGTCAAACAAAACCAAAATTCTTTGTTTCATTTGAAAAAGCCCTTAAGCAATTCACAAACTTTGTTCCTAAAACTCGAATCCCTGATATAATTTAAAAAAAAAAATTAAAACCCAGTGCAAAATCAAAACAATCYAGCACTAATATAATTTTTTTCTTTGAAATAATATTTTTCAAAATTTTCTTCCTTCCCCCCTGAATTTGGTGAAGCTTTTGGTTGGGGGTTATCGAGGGTTTTTTCTGATGGATTTAGTCTGCTATGAATTTCTCTCTTCTCCAACCAGATACAGTTTTTTAGGGAAGAGGAAGAGCACCCAACAATAACCACCCAATATGGCTTTCATGTGYCTGGTCATAGAGTATGACAGCAATCATGCAACTGGGAAAGCTCCCACCTCCCAACTCCTTCCACATCAAAGATGTGGMTCTGCTCCTGCTATAAGCCCTTGCTAATTAATTAGAAGCTACACAGAGCATTTAWTATCCACTCAGATCCTCACTGGGAGTTGCACTCATCTAACCAAAGGCAGAATTTGACTCTGACTTTAAACCTGTGCCTCACTTTTACGTTTATTACCTAGTCCCCATACATTAGTTGAGGGGAGGATGGAGGAATAATTTAAATGTTCTCCATGCMGAGATCTCAACATTTGTCTAATAATTTTCCAGTAACCTTAAAAGAATTATCAGCAATTTAACCATCTGAGAAGACAAAGCACCAAAGCTCAGGTTATGAGACCCCCATCTTACCACCTCTGCTGCTACCGTCGTCCCAGCCAGAGCACTCATGCTCTGCATCAGGAGAAGCACAACCACCTTTATGTGCTTCATCTTCTCAGCCAGCAGATGAGACCGTAAAGGGAGAAAGGATGTCTTTTATAGTAGAATCTGGGGATTTCCCCTGCCAAACCTTAAGGAACTTGCATGATATTTTTACAGGTTTTGGGTAAGTGATGTCATAAACTCATATAATAACCAAATTACTAACGTACAAAGAACCCATGAGTTACCCTCATAAATTAACTATGTTCAGTTTTCTACCAGGAAACYTTTTTCGCAGGGTACAGTATCTGATCTTAATCTTGGTACTATAGAACATCAGGTGATTATTTGCTATGAGAGGTAAATTGAGCCTCACAGGGGCTCAATCATAAAAATTCTTGTAGATTCTTTGAAGATTCCTTCAAGGTTATGCAGACAATACAGGTCTTTGTGGTATTAATTACTTCTTGTAAGTACAGAGAAGAGCAGGTCAGGCTAAACTGCTCACACACCAGAACCACGTTTCCCTTTTCCCATAGGCCAAGACCTTTGTTAACAAGTAAAACACACAAAGGTTTCTACAGCTTTTCTGTTCCCTTGGTTCTCACATAGCACATAGGTGGGACACAGACTACCTCCCATTTCGTTCCCACCAGGTTTGTGTGTCATATATTAACACTATGTGCTGATTAATGCTTACTCCTGCATTAGCACTGTGTACCATCAATGTTCACTCACCGGCTCTCTTTTCATGGAACTGCATTCCACCTGACCACAATGATTCACTCTCTGTCTCTAGAGCACTGATCCAGAGAGAGGAGAAAAGGCCACACGTAACTAGTGTGGTCCCCACACTCCCAGCTGTGCCACACCACCGTAGGAGAGGCACTGAGATGCCTGCAGTTCCCACAGCACCCAACCCACCATGGGAATTCCCCACTTCTAACAAGCTACTGCTTTGGTAGAGTAGCTGCAAACCTCCCCCTAGTGCAGAGGAAATTAAAATTTCTCTCCCAAGTTCTTTGGATCACTGGGTAAATGAGCTTGGTGTTTGGAAGGAAGGCTCTAGTCGAAATGGCTGTATCTATGCACCTGTAAAAGTCAAGAAGTCCCTAGACCAAAACATTACCATGACCAAAACACCATTTTTCCCTTTCCTTTGTCATTCTGTTAGGCTTGGTTCTTCTACTGGGTCAGCAACAAAAGGCTGTAGCTGTGCCTAAGTGAAGAAAGTGGTTAGGAGACCCTTGTTCCTTTCCAATGTCAGTGGACAGAGGTCAGGGCAGGAGCAGCAGWCCTGAACAGCAATGCTGCCTCATATGAAACTCATATCCCTGGTGAGGAACCCTTAAGACTTCCTGGTATTACCACAGCACTATCAGCTCCAGGTGGCAATGAGAAAGCTGAGGCTTAGGGCAAATCTGTCCTAGAAAACTCTTGGGACAAGTCATGTCCTTTGGAGTAACATGTTTTTAACCACAGCTTTTCATAAGCATAAGTTTCCTGACATATTCACAAGGCTGGCAGAAGCATCTTGCAGGGTAAGRATATAATAACTTCTTGCAAAGACATTTTTTCACAGCAGAAGCTACATCTCTACTGGAGGATTTCATGGCTAATAATTCAATGTAAGATAGACAAGACCTGGAAGGCATGTGATAATGTGTAAGCAAAAAGAACCAGAGCTGTGCTGGTAAAGCAAGAAAATGAATCCAAGCTTCTTCTTCTCCTCAGGTTACAGTGGTGTGCTTTCCCAGTAAATCCCAGTGTTGTCAAGGGAATGGAGAGACTGATGCTGTAAGTACAGTCAGGGCTAAAGCCCTGAGCTCCAAGAGAAGCAGACTGGCCCCTGTGAGAGCAGCTGAAGGCTGTGAAATATCCTTTGCACTATAAGAAAAGCTTTGGCCACAGCAGAGTGGCATTCAGGTGCAAACCAGCACACACATGATGCAGACAACTGGTAAGCCTATGCTGCCTACCAGGTTGGCTCTACTCCCAGGTTATGATATCCTGAAATTGTATAATTGCCATTTCCTTCCCAGTTTTTGTTTTTTGTTTTTTTGTTTTTTTGGTTTGTTTTTTTTTTTTTGAGTGAATCCATACAARACTAAGGGAAATCCTGGAAACAGATCCCTCCCAAAAGTTTGTTCCTGATCAGCCCTGCCTGGTCCTAACCAGCTGTCCAACTCCTGACATAAGTTCTTATATCACACCTCTTGTTATGGAAACACCACCCTGATGGGCTTCAACCCCTGCCTCAGGTGATTTYTGATGCTCCAAACAAAAAGAAATACCCATACCAAAGAGACCTGCACAACCCCCACAGAAAACTAATGATCACAGCACCAAAAGGCTCAGAAGAGATCTAAAATACCAAGTGTTCCATCATGAGGACACAAGGGAAGCCACCAGGCTGCTGTAAAAGACAAAGCTCTGAGCAGCACACAAACAGGCCACTTCTCCCAAGGACCAGGCATTWTTTCCAGGGATGAATGCATTTAGCAGGATAGATGAAGCAGCAAGGGAAAGCATAACACAGAGACACAGGTAAATCGAGCTGACAGTACAAATGCATGGATTAGTAGCATGYTCCATGCACCATGCTTGCAACAACTCCTGGGCAGCTTGCAAACTGCCTGAAGGCAGCTGCTGTGGCACCTACARACCCCCTGGCCTTGCTAAGGTGCCACAAGTCCTGCTGGCTAGAGAGAGGGCAACTTTGCAGCACACATGGCCACACTTCCATGCTCCACTGTGAAGAAAGSAAGCGAAATCTTGCAGACAGCTTTGTGCTGTCAGCATAGACAGCCTCTGAGTTTGGAGCCTGATATCTAATCAGCAGAAAAACCTGTTTTCTGAGCATAACTCTTTAACAGTGAGTCTCTGTTCCTTCCAGGACTGCAAATCACCCACGAAGCATAAAAGTTTCTCAACRGTTTTTCTTTTATGTTTAAAGGGCAATTCTGAGATAAGAAGCAAATATTAGCTAAGTAATGATAGTTAATCAGTTGCTTTGGCATAGGTAGGTAATGATAGGTGATCCATTTCTTTGGCATTTTCCCAGTATTTGTGTTTGCACATTACCTTGCAGAAACAATGGGATCTTATCTTTTTATTCCTAATCATGGCGTAATTAATGCTAAATAAAAATACTTTCCCTGGATCTCCTGTAGAACTCTTAGTCTGAAAAAATAACTTACACTCATTGTCTACATTTCAGAAGACAGAAACTTCACTTACATGAAACTATATGTCATACAGAAAGTTGCACTTATTTAGGAATTTCCACTTGGGAAAACAGGAAAATACAAGGATTTTCTCTTTGTAGGGCTGTACCCTCACCAGTACTTCCTTGTTCACAACAGCCCTAGTGGGCAATTCAGGGTAAAGTCCCTTCTTTTGCAACAGACCTTGTCTTCTATTTCAGTGGGAGCTATACAACAAAATGCCTTTGCAAAAAGCTCACTTATGTCTCTCAAATGCCTTTGCAAAAAGCACACTTATGTCTCTCAGACACCTGCTCAACAGAGCCCTTCTCAAACCTAGTCTAACTYAATCACTGCTTTTATTACAGCAGAGATTATCATGATTATTATTCAACACAGAGATAGGTGATCCATATCATCTGCTCTCTAAAGCTGATGGCTCGATCCAAAGTCACGGGAGTCAAATATTACTTGATCATGCTTGGTGGTATGAACATAAGATTGCACATCTCAGTTTCCCATCAACATTTAGAAAGGATAGTATTTCCCTGCCTCAGACCCATGTTGCCTTAGAGCAATTGCATGCATTAACAAGAATAAGAGGCATTCAACTATTAGAGAACAAGGACGACTTAAACATGCAAAAATACAGACAAAAAATATATAACTTGTCTCGGTTTAGTAGACCAGTAACAGGATGAATTGAATATAGGTTATGTGGTTCTATTTATCAAGTAATCATCCACAAATATATTTATCATATCTGATGTCACAATTTCAAATTCCCTCTGAATTCTTCAGTACATTCCCAGGACAGGTGCATAACCTGCACTTACTTAAAACAAGAAAATAAAAATCCGTAGATCCAAAGTGGGATAGAGTACCTCACTGTGCTAACTTGACAGAATGGTTCAGACAGAAAGTACTGCACTGCACATTACATTTTGCAAGTCTAATGTAAAAGCATTTCTACTGTTTGCCTGCAGACGCGATAAGACTCCGAGCCTCGTGGAATCAGCATTTCAGTGCATGTCGTCCAGTACCCTCTATACTGTGGATTTAGCAAAGCTTGCCTAAAGCTTGTTAAATCCCTCCTCCCACCAAACTATGTATTCCTGATGTAAAGCCAAAAATATGGAGAAAATATTAATTCAAATTCATCCTATGATACAAGAACATAACCGCTAATATTCCTTTTTATTTTCTGAAGATGTTTCTTTCTGAAAATAATGAGCCTGGTCTTCCTTGATTATAGGATCATCCTGTAGTGAAATAAGGAGGTTAGAGGGGTCAGCTTTCTTTGGTAAGGTGCTGTGGAAATATTGTCATCATGAAATCCATCTATTTCATGAWACCAATGTTCGACATAGATCTGTTCTACTCTGCTAATCCCTTTACAAATTGCTTGCACTTTTTCCCTCTCCAAGTGATTCGCATTCTTATGCAATATATTTTGGTGTCATCTATCATAAAGCTCATCTATTTGGAAGATATTATGCAAATGCTTTCATTTAATCCCTTTATCAGTAGAATGTCAGGTTAGTGTTTTAAAAAACATCCCTCTGGGCCATGTTCAAAATAGGAAAGTGTAAGGGATATATTAACACCTAGTTTAAAAATTATGTTAGTAAGGGTGAGACTCATTTTTCTGAGATTGTCGGAAAGGAGCATCTCCCAGGAGCAGAATGAGAAACAGAGTAGAATTTCCAGAAAGGGTGAAACTTCCTTCCTTTACACCTTTAAAATGCCACTGATACCAGCTAGGTTGATTGAGCCACCAAAAATGAAGGGAAAAAATTATCCATAATGTCAAAAAAGGAAGACCTTCACTAAGAAAGACATAAGACCAAGACAAGATCAGCT